AGCGAGTCTCCTGCCTCAGCCTCCCAAGTAGCTGGGACTACAGGCGCCCGCCACAACGCCTGGCCATTTGTTTGGTTGCAGCCATCATTGTTGTTTGGCGGGCCTGGGCTGGGGATTCGAACCCACCACCTTAGGTGTATGTGGCTGGCGCCTAGGCCACTTGAGCCACAGGCGCCGAGCCTTATTTAAGTATTTATGTATGGACTCACAGATTTATTATATAGTTTGGGTTATAATCCAATATTACTTTATTTTCTTGCTCAAATTGTTCCAGCTTTGTTCACTGGGAGCTCTTTCAGTTGTGACTGTGTGACATACTCCCAATCACTATAATTTGTGTGTGTGTATGTGTAGCACTTCATTTTTCTGTGGTACAAGACAATCCAAGCTTATCTTGCATATTTCCTGCCCCAGTGGTAGAAGCAGTCATCTTCCCAAGGAGCTCTAGTTCCTTTTCTTGGAAACCAAGATGGGGGCACAAGATGTGCTCCCCTTTTATCTATTTTCTGGCCATACAACTACTAACAAACAAAGATGCTTCACTCTGGCTACACTGGTGGGAAACTTCAAACTTTAGCAGAAAAGCTCAGTTCTAACAATCTCCTAAATTACTTTTCTCTCAAAGGATAGGTTAGTCTAAGCAGAAAAAAAGATACGCGAAGCATTTTCATTATAAACTGAGACAAACCATCAGGCTTGCTATATTGTAGACCAACCCACCACAGTGAAAAAAGAACTACAGAATGGTCCTTAGAATAACAGAGTCATTTGTCGGGGGTCATCAGGGAGAATGCTGATGGAATCTTCTGCTTTGCCACATAACAGACACAGCATGGTATACTCCTAGAGCAAGACAGAGTGCACAATTACCTCAAGGAACAGGCAGAAAGATGCTTCCTAACTCACTATCTTTAGAAAAGCTATTCTCTACACATTGTCACAGATATTCTTTCTGTACATGAGATCAACTTCTTCAACACTTATCAGCATTGTTTTACACACATGCTATGCATTCCAGAGCCTTTCCTTTACATAAATTAAATACATGCCGATGCTCTATTTATAAGAACATTATCTTGGAAGCTCACGGCTTTTTCTTGGATTTAGAAAGCACACATATTTAGCTTAGTGCTGCTACTTAAAGTAATGAAGCAATCTGAATCTGAGTCCCGAAAGACAAATTCTTATTCTTAGAGCTGATCCTTTCTAGAATATTTAACACTAATACTAATATGCAATAGAAAAGGTTTTTTTTTTTTTTTTTTGAGACAGAGTCTCCCTTTGTTGCCCTCGGTAGAGT